TTTAATAACACTTTGAATAAATATCATTGGTGCACTTATGCATGTTTTTAAATAATTAAATATAATGTTTCTATAGTTTGATTTTAAATGAATGATCTGTACGTCCAACGTTTCAGACAAACATATTTGTTCAGTTTAAACAGAGTGCGTTTGTCTGCAAAATGTATTTATTAAAAACAATAGATTCTCAATATTTGGCGTCTTTCACTTCTTTTTGTGTTGCCGTGGAAGCGAACAGGTATTAATATTATTTGTTCACTATCACGTCAAAGTTTCAACAATAAGAAGCCTTCAGGGCGCCAGATGTCCTAGCGGTTATGTCGGGCGTCCTTGTACAGAGGCTAAGCGGCCGTGGGTTCGAATCCAACCTCAGCTGTCCCGTCTAATAAAGGCCGTAAGGCCCAAAAATTGTACTTAGATAATAATAATAATAATAATAATAAGGACCCTTCATCCATTGACAAGTGTGTTTCAGGTGATTAAACAGTATTATATGTGATATATGACACCTCTCAGCACCTATACCTGCTATGACGTCATCAGGTGATAATAACAAGGTGTACAGCGGCCGTCAGAGGACAAACAGAGAGTATAAAGAACGGGGAAGACTCTTACATTGTATGTGTGGAAACATTTACGACCGCCGTCACCACGTAAAACTCCCGGTGCTTCTTGTGGTACCGGAGCGCGTGCGGCACGTGGTTCGAATAGAGTCCCAGAACCCGGAACCCGGAGAACAAAGAACTCCCGCCGCCGCGAGACTCCCGCCACCTGACATGTCCGTTAAAAACGTGACTTTACCGGATAAAACCCCGAACACAAAACAAACGCTCACACTAGAGAAACACACCAGCGGAGAAAACACATGGAGGAGCGCCGAGAAACAGAGTCCGACTGGAAACAACGACAAACAGGAAGGTTCCGCTGATGAGTTCTGGCTGAAAACAAAAACCGGAAACGGCTAAATAAATACATAAATAAATGTATTATAAAAATGTAGTATAAATATAAAATGATAAATAATAATAAAATATTATTGACTAACGTTTTCAGTATTTAAGATAAAAATAACGACATGAGAATATTATATAAAATAATTATAACATTTAAATCTGATTTTGCAATAAAACAATAAAATACATTAAATAAAAATCACAGACGGTTTAAATAGAAAGAAATAGAATAATGCATAAACAAAAACAAGGAATTAAGATAAAAAAAATACATTTTAAATTAAGTTAAACGTTTTTATTCTCATAGTTAAGATTTAATAATACATAAATCATTTCTGTATGAAATCAGAGTATTTAATTATTCCTGAGTTTATTAATAAATAATAATCTTTGTTTATGTATGTTTGTTTGTTTGTAAGTGTAAATTAAAGCAGCAGAAACTTGACACAGATTTAAATCATAGATTTTATTTAACAGCACAGTATCAACGTGTGACATTTACAACTAAACACGAGCGCAGACGCAGTGATTTAAACTCAACTTCACAATAAAATACTTTATTTTCTTCTGATTCTAATTCAGAATAAATTTACAAACATGAGGAGAGATTCATTTTGTTCTTCAATTATCTGATTTCAATAATTTATTCTACATCTACATTTCTTTGATACTTTGTTTTTACAGCTTTATACAAATAGAGTCTCCAGATGTGTCAGCATTATTTACACAAAGAGATGCTGACCATCAGCTTTCAGAATTTTAAGACTGGATCATAAGGACCATGCTATCATGCTGGAACAGGAAGTAACACTGCGTCCCCATGGCGACACACAACCACCACAACATTTTGTTTTTCAGGCAGGAAGTGACATCAGGAAGTGACGTAAACTTTGAGAGTTAGCGTATTATCGAGAGAAAGACAGTTTGTGTTCAATGAAGCTAAACTAACAGGTTCCCTTCTTCTCTCAGTCTTGATGCTAAGCTAGGCTAACAGGTTCTATTCTTCTCTCAGTCTTGATGCTAAGCTAGGCTAACAGGTTCCCTTCTTCTCTCAGTCTTGATGCTAAGCTAGGCTAAACATGACCTGTATCTTTGTTCTGTGGAGTTTAAACGCTTCCTGGTTGCTTTGGCAGCACAAATTGGCTACTCTTTGGTTGCTATGGTACTCCAGGGAGGTTGATGGCATCACTAAGTGGTTGCTATGGTGATGGTGTGTGTGGGTAAAAATCACATGATCTGGTCCAGCTGTCTGTTTATATTTTTGAGAGATTATTGAACATTTTTCTTTTATTTTGTATATTTTCCATGTTTATATAAATAAATGTTTTTGTTGTTGCTGACAACCTGACAGGGTGTTTGGTTGTCATGGTGATGGCATCTGGAGTGGGAACTTGCCATCTGTGATGCTGTGTCTCCATGGTAATGTCTCTAGCAGCCCCTCCCTTCCAGCAGCAGCAGCCTCAGCAGCGTCCTGGCAGCAGCGAGCAGCGCACCGTGCAACGCGTACTGGGCCGCCAGTGCGCCAAAGCCTCGGTAAAAGCCGACCACGCCCTCCTTGCGGCGGATGGCATGGAGGCACTCGGAGAAGCCATCGTACTGCGTGTTGACAGGCAGCACCAGTGGGCTGCCACCACTTCCCACAGCGACCACGCCGTCTGTGGCATCAATGATGGTGCGCGTTCCCTGCAGGCCGAGGCGGTGCAGCGCTGTCTCCAGAGGAAACAGCATGATGTCCGCCACCAGTGACCCCGCCCATGCGGCCGCCAACTCTGGGAAGTATGCATCCAGTGGGTTGGAAGGGTCTGCTCGCTGCTTCCGTCCTCGCTGATGGAGCCACAGTGCCACCCGCTGGACAGAGGCAGCTATGGCGTAACGCAGGATGGCGTGCAGCGCGGCAGGAAGTAGCAGAGAGCTGAGAGGAAGTAGACGGCGGCTGTGAGGAGCTCCAACGGCAAACAAACGAGTCAAACCTTCACGGAGACAATCAAGCAGCCCAGAGGACGCATCATCCCGCACGATCTCGCTCTGTGGAGACAGGAAGAGGAAACTCAAAGACACGAGCGCTCAGTACCCGATGACATCATTCTGACTGTCACACAAAGACATTAAACTCTGATCAATCATCAATAATCCACCTGGACCGTCTCGATCAGGCTGGCACAGTAAAAAGGAAGAGCCACCACAGCGGTCAACCTGTGGGTGAGAGACACAGAGAGGGGGGGGGAGATAAAGAAAATAAATATAATCAGAGAATAAACAAGTCCTGCTGTTTGCGTTTAAATAAAGTTAAATAGACAAGTCAGTAGAAGAAGAAGTGAACTGACCCTTTCAGCAGTAAATGTCCAGACAGCTGTTTCCAGCTCCACCTGTGAGGAAGCTCCCTGTAATCACAAACACACAATTAGGCTACACTACAGTCACACCACACTCACACTACACTAACTACAGTCACACTACACTAAATACAGTCACACCACACTCACACTACCTACACTCATATTACTCACTCTACACTCACACCACAGCCACACCACACTCACACTACAGTCATACTGCAATTATAATACAGTGCTGTTTAGTTACCGTGGTAACGGTGTTAATTCGCTGATGATGCCTTCAGCACCCAGTGAGATCCCGTGAACAATGAAGGTGCTGCCCATCCCCTTCCACAGAGACTTCGGACCCTAAACAATAAACAAACAACAACAACAACAACAACAACCAAACAACAGTAAACAAATGAGATCATAATTAGGGATCAGAAAGATTCATTTCATCCAAACAGTCATGATGAACTGGTTTGTCAATCTAATCCGCTATCAGTGACTCCTACCTGAGCTTTAGTGATGGAGTACATGACGGCGACGGCGCTGAACGGAGTCAGGTGGTAACAGCGGGCGTGGTAGTTCACCTGAGACAAACAGCCAATCAGAGAACAGCAGGAGGAACACGAAGCAACATGTTTTACACAAAAATGATTAACTTAATAAACAGAACATAAAACTGAGAGCCAATGAGAGGACGGCTGTCTCCATACCAGAATCTTAAACTTTAATATGATTCTAATAAAAATCTCATAATATAGATACCTGTTTGTTACCACGGCAACACAATATTTAGAAAACTGAAGATCTCACGTTTCCAAAGCTTCTGTTGTTTTCAGTTCTATCGATCATTAAAATGTCAGATTTAAAAACACCTGGTATGAAAACAACCAATCAGAAGAGAGCAGCAGTTTTTAATCAGTTAAGGAAAAAGGTGAGCTCATACCTGACACTGTCTGCGGAAGACGATACAGGGGTGAGCAAGGACGTTCTCCGTGAACAGGCTACACACACACACACACACACACACGCACGTCAGGCTCGTTTTATGATGAAAGGTTAATAAATGTGAATTTTCTAACTTAAGATTTGAAACTTTGCTCTCACCTGACGAGTCCGATTCCAAAGCCTGCGAATCGATTCAGCTGCTCTGAAATGAGACGAGGTCATTATTCAAAGTTTAAACCCTCATCGTTAAAATTAGAGAAGCACAATCAGGACCGATACCGATCTTTGTTTCATGACTGTTGGTATCAGACTCCCACAATGCAACACTTTCGCGCCATAACTAAGCTCAGCCGTCATCACGTCTTTGAACATGAGTCTGTGACGGTGTGATATCGGTGTCACAGCAGGAGCTCCACATACACACACAGTCAGACACACACGGCACTGTTCTCCCTCGCTGGCTCATCCAATCTCTTCTCTCTTACTCCATCTGAAGACGGGATAGAGGGGGGATCACTTCGTCACTCCATAACGCCTTCATGACATTGAAGGAAAAACGTCACGGGGGCGTAAAAACGGCGGTCTGAACAGGGTTATTATTTGCTGATAAATCAATCTCTTACTAACATTGGATTATTATACTGTATTATTATTATTATTTAGCATCAATATATATACATATATACTGTACATTCTATATATTATAATACTACTCTATATTATATAACATTTCATTATATTACACTATATTGTTCATATTGCACTATATTATATTATATTTTACTACATTATATTATATAACTGCACTCTGCATTACTGTGGTACAACACTGTCTCTCTTCTCTGCTGTTTACATTACTTATCATACCAAGTCACTTTAATCATCACTTGTCACTTTATCTTGTCATTCTCTGTAAATACTGTTTCAATTCTCAATTCCCCCCAGTTAACTTCATCATTCATTTTGTACTGTATATATACGCCCTGTTTTTATTTTTATTTATCTTATCTATTCTGTTTAATGTGTGTTTTGAGCTTTCTTGTCTGTGCAGCTGTAACGTTGCTGTAAAGTATTATCCTATCCTAAAAGAGAGGTTCTGTTTTTCTTAATTAGATTTTATAAAGGTATACAAGTTTAATTTATGAAAGATACAATTATTCTAATTAATCAGTTAGCCTGTTAGCTGCTCAGTTAGCCTGTGAGCTAACTCATGATGACACTAATGTGAGTTAACGTAGCCTGTTAGCCTGTTAGCCTGTTAGCTCTCCACTACCTGCGGGAGGTACCCCTGGCTGAGGACCGTCCCAGCCCGCTGCAGCCCCCGGAGCTCCGGGCTCCCCCAGCGACTCGTCGTACTGAGGTGTCCGCTCTCCGTGGTGCAGGTTGCGGCTCCCCGGGATGTCCGGAGGCGTGGTGACCCAGTGGTGGTGCTGAAGCTCCGCGGGGCCTCCTGCGCTCCTCACCGGGTAGCCCGCTCCGTACAGCGGGTCATCGCGGCCACGGAAGCCGAGCCCGTCGAAGCTGTCCGGCCGCTTGGAGGCCATCAGAGGGTCGGTGCGCGACAAAGAGCGGGAGGACCGAGACTGAGCTCCGGTAACGGGAATCAGGAATCCTCAAACTGAACGCATCCACCTCCCGGTAAATCAACGGTGTTTATGATTAAAAGGAGGAATTCTCGTCCCTGATTGATTTGACCCACAGCAAAACATCAACCTGTCACCTGCTACCCGGAACTGCTTCTTCTTCTCTGGGACTTTTGGCGGATCGCAAACAGCTTAAAGGTGCATACCGCCACCTAGAGGTGAGGAGCCGCTCATTACCGCCACCTACAGGTGAGGAGCCGCTCATTACCGCCACCTACAGGCGAGGAGCCGCTCATTACCGCCACCTACAGGTGAGGAGAGGTCTGATAATTAATATCTACAGCACAGGCTTACATTTAGCTTGACTTCCTGTTACGACTTTGAGTCATGTTTGTGAGAACAAGAGATGTTCTTTGTTAAACATCTTTGAGTATTCAGAGAAGATCTATTTAAGTATCATGTATTATTAATATAATTATTACAATAAAACAAAGACACAAACTGAGGGGATAAATATGAACCTCAAGTCTTTGTGGATGTTTGGTTTCTTTTATTTACATTTGAAGCAGATTTTTAGACTTCAGGAAAAATGAAATGAACTTTAAAAACATTAACCCTTTGAAATGTAATGTGCATTACAAATAACATAATTATGATCTGTAAAGGCAGGACTCGGAGACTTCATTCATAAACTTTATTCAGTTTGTTTTTTAATTCCAGCATTTATGACAGTTCTTACATTTAAAGACAAACAGTTTCCTTCACACAGTTTTCATCTTTGAATCAGAAACCTGGACTTCATTTAAAGACACCAGACACAGAGACGATAACATCACACAGAGCGGCACAGGTGTGCACACACCTGTCCTTATACTTCTGTCCACATGGGGTCACTCTCCTCTAAAGGAATTTATTCAAAACTTAGAGAGAGAAGAGAGTTTTGTTTTCAGAGTAAAAATCCAGAAACCATCTGTCCCTGCTACCTGATTGGTCCAGTGAGTAATCCCCACCCACCTCCCAGTGTGAACCAGGAAGGTAAAAGTCAAAATAATTCACAAAGACGTCAGAAGAGGTCGATGTTGGAAACAAACGACTTTTACTTTGTTTTCTCCCAACAAACAACGTTCTATTCGTTGTTACGATTTACTTTGAGGATATTTTTCAGTACGTCGTTTTTCTTAAAACGATATGATCCAGACTTTCAAAAAGTACTCAGACAACACTGTCAGAGAGAGAGAGAGAGCGAGAGAGAGAGAGAAGGGAGGGGGAGAGAGAGAGAAGGGAGGGGGAGAGAGAGAAGGGAGGGGGAGAGAGAGAGAGCGAGTAAAAAATTCTGGTATCATGATGACTTTACTCTCCTGTGACTTCTGTCCTCCATCAATTCTTCAGATCAAACATGGCCGCCAGTCCTTAATAGGTTGGTTCGTTAAGGCAGCAGGGCGTCGGCTCGTTAAGGCAGCAGGTGTCTTGTTAAGGCCGACAGTGGCCCAGAGGATTCGCTGTTTAACATGTTTTTCATGAATGGCGTTGATCTCATGGCGATTTGTTTTACAGTTTAAAAGACGTTTACATTGAAGAAGGGAACAATCATCTGAGCCCTGATTGGCCGGCTCCCGGACAAGAAGGATATTAAAAAAAGATGAAATAATTGTTGTTTTTTTTTAAAAGGAAAATGTAGAAACTGAAAACATTAAAAACATTTTAATTATTTTATTTCAATAAAAAACTTTAGTAAAACATTTTCTAATAAATTATCTTCTAGATCAATGTTTACTTATGTTCTCATGATGAGACGCTAACTAAGTTAACGAGTATAAACGCTACCTGTGCTGATGTTGGCACTAAAATAAAAAATAGTTAGATGTGATTTTAGCCAATCAGAAATTTTGGAGGTGATCTGAGCTGTGATTGGTCGGCTGGCTCACCAGCAGGAGTTTAGAAAAAAAAACTTGATATTAATTGAAAATATACAACGTCAGTGTTTCCTGCTTAATGCTGATATTATAATCAGCAACTACATACGTTAGTGTGTAAACCTACAGCAGGGTGTTACCATGGTTACCGAGTTACATTTGTAGTTTAGAGTTTTCTTTTATGCGCTAACACTCTGGGGTTTGTAGTCCCAGGTTGGCTAGCAGGCTAACCTACAGTGAAAGTTTTTAGTTAGCGTTTATCGATTGTAATCAGCAGAAATTAAACCTTACGAACAGATGCTAGCTAGCAGCAGCCAGCTGCTAATGGCAGTGCTCGGTGATGTCGACGACCACTGCCTTTCTCCAGCTGAACAGGAAGTAGCCCATGCCAGCGCCGGCTGCCACGGCGATGCAGAGGTAGGCGTTGTAGGTCATAAAGACGAGCATCAGGAAGTAGCTGACGACCACCTGAACAATGTGTAACAAGGTCTGCAGGAAGTGGGCGGGGCTTAACATCCGCTGTCTGTGAAACAAGAGGAGGTGGTTAGCATTACCGTTAGCATTGTAATTTTAACTCTTCTGTCATGATGTAAGCATGAAGGCACTGCAAATTATTTTAACTTTAGCATAGCTAACTCAATATTCTAAATGTTAATTCAAATAAATGTTTTTTCAAAGGGATACTTCACCCATTTGCATTAAGCTTTGTATCATTAGAAACCTGGTAGTATTTTTGAATGGTTGTGCATCCCGGACTGGGGCGGACTATCTATGGACACAGACATTGAGTCTGTTTGGAACTTCCAAGATGCCAATTCCTTCAGCAAGAAATCTCAGAATCAGTTGAGGAAACGGCCTTATGTGTTGAAGTAAATATGTCTGTAAATAGAGGACCTCAGTAGGAGTGGCCTGCGGTGCTGAGCATTCTAGGAGTTGGTGTCTTTCATCCACATGAGCCAAAAAGTCAATACAGATTCATGTTTCAACTGGTGAAGTATCCCTTTGAGCATTTCTACATGCTATCAGCTGTTATCTTCATTAGCCTTGTGAATTACTGCATGGACTTTCATTTTGATATCCCATCACCTTAAAAAACTGCTAGCTTAGCATATTTCCCCCAGCTTACATATCATTGTAAAACATTTGACATGTTAGCATTTGCAGTACTGTTCACCTGTGGCTCCAAATATTTCCCATATCCACATTTATGTTTGATGTCAGTATTAGCCTCAGCTTCAGTTTTAGCATGTTAGCCCCTCAACACAGACAGAAGAGCACCACCTGGAGGCCGAAACAGCTTCATACAAAGTTACCTTCAGGTTTTGGTTTTTAGGAAACAGAAAATGTCAACATTTTAACTTAAATAAATTATTGAAACATTAAATGTTAAAATGTCATTCAGCTTTTAGATTTTCTGTTTATAAAAACTTTAACAGAAGTTCATGAAAACAGGATGATAAACACGTCCTCCATCTTTAAGAGTCAGACTTCAAAAGAACATCGGATCAGAAAAGTTGGGACGCTGTGAAAAATGTAAAGACAGAAAGTGTCTCTGTGAGCTCCTCCCTCTCTTTATTTCTGACAGACTCCGCCTCTCTGTGAGCTCCTCCCCCTCTTTACTTCAGACAGACTCCGCCTCTCTGTGAGCTCCTCCCCCTCTTTACTTCAGACAGACTCCGCCTCTCTGTGAGCTCCTCCCCTCTTTACTTGAGACAGACTTCGTCTCTCTGTGAGCTCCTCCCCCTCTTTACTTCAGACAGACTTCGCCTCTCTGTGAGCTCCTCCCCCTCTTTGCTTCTGACAGACTCCGCCTCTCTGTGAGCTCCTCCCCCTCTTCAGACAGACTTCGCCTCTCTGTGAGCTCCTCCCTCTCTTTATTTCAGACAGACTCCGCCTCTCTGTGAGCTCCTCCCCCTCTTTATTTCAGACAGACTCCGCCTCTCCGTGAGCTTCTCCCTCTCTTTATTTCAGACAGACTCCGCCTCTCCGTGAGCTTCTCCCTCTCTTTATTTCAGACAGACTCCGCCTCTCCGTGAGCTTCTCCCTCTCTTTAATTAATAGACATGTACATGTTATTAAATAATCTTCACTTTCTGGTTTTATTTACAAAACGTCCCAACATTTCTGGAAACCAGTGTGTATGAATAGATGCTCCAATCAGAACCTTCTGATGCTCATTCATTATTCACGAGTTCTCTGATTGGCTCCTGAACGGTCTGACCGGAGCGTCTCACACGGAACCAGAACCACAAGCTGAACTCCACTGTTACCTGGGAGAGCGTCTTGAGAGGTGGGACTTATGTTCAACCGGAAGCTCCACCCCCTCCACACACTGACTGTCAGTCAGCGAGCTGACAGCGAACACATGAATATATTATAATAATCATTCAATGGAATTATGATGCATTATATTAATTATTCTATTTTATGTGGAATATATTTAGATTTTTTTAATAAACATTTAATTTTTAATCTCTAATATTAAAATATTATCATTTTGAACACTTCAGCATCACCATCAGAAGCTCTGCCCACTTCCTGTGACACCGCATGTTTTCAAACTGTACAATTCTTAGAAGAATCTTTTCTTCAGTCAGAAGTTTCACTCTCGCTCTTCTTAAGCTCCTCCCCGTCAGTTGACCTCATTATCCCACACCGAGTGTCTAACACTCTTCTTGTTGCCATGGTATCAAACAGGTATCATTAATGTTTGACTTTTCTAGAATCATATCAAAGTTAAATTTTCTGACAGCCCTTTGCAGTGATGTTAGCGTTAGCGACCTACCCTACGGTCTTGTGCGTCTCCATTAGCACTGTCCCATCAGCCCCGGGCAGCGGCATGGAGTTGTAGCGGACGTTGACCTGACTGCGACGGAGCAGCGTCTCGCGGCCCATCTTTAGGCCCTCGTACAGGACGGCCAATAGGAAGACACCGATACACGCACCCACCATCTCTGATTAGAAGAGAGGAAGGCGGTGAGGGGAAGTTATTCTAAAAACGTTCAAACTGAAATATAAATGTTTAAAAATCAATAATCAGAATGATGCTAGAGACCTCCAGGTGAGTTGATGAGCAGCCCGGTGAACAGCAGCTCCACGTTGTTGTAGCCAAAGTAGAAGGTCATCACCTAGGCAACAACAAGCACAGCATTAGCATGCTAGCTCAATTTCAATTCAGTTAGCTTTATTAGCACGAATGTAACGAAGACATCATTTAATACCAGAATAAATACAACAACGACGTGAT